TAGAACGTATCCAATTTAAAATTGCAGGGATTCAATGAGGTCTAACCTGAAACCAGCCTATATGAACACGTCTCAGCGCAGCTCTACGTTGCCGGCCAACGCGTCCTTGCCGCGGCAGTGATGCCTCAACTGTATACTGTACGTCAATTATCGGCTTGTGTTATTTTTTATATTTAAATCTTTATTTGCGATATTTATGAAATTAAAATGTGCAATTTGTTATCGTTTGACGTACAGGCCTCTGTTTGAAGGCCATCTGACAACAAAAGAATGGTGCACATAAAACCCTATTATAAAAGACAAAAAGAATTTTGTCTTTGAAACTAGTAATAATTTCCGTTAGTAACATTTTATGACCGTTTGGTTTGTTATATAATGCTTGAATTAATTACGCAATGGTTGAATCAGTTAATGAAACAGTAACATTTAAAAATATATTGATTATACATATCGGGTATAAGAAACAGTCTTAAATTTTAATATTTTATGTATTATTTAATTCACCCACATAATAACTAGTCTTTTAAAATATATTTAGACCATTATATAATTATGTAATAAACGACGGTGTGGTCGCTGTGATAGGCATAACGTTGTACTTATCCATGAAAGAAATTGTGTCGATATTTTAGTAGATCTGAATTTGTATTCAAAAGTGTTTAAAAACTTAAGATTTTTTTTAGTCTAACGTAAGATTTTCAGGTGTTTCGCAAATACATTTACTGAGCGATTAGGTCAATTACGTGTGCATTTATCTCGTAACTTCTTGAATAACTCTCTTATTTTTCTTTTTGTAATCGTTAGCCCAAGTTAGTCCTTCATTCGATTATTTTATCGAATTATTCGATTTTAATTATGGTGAAAATAATATCTTTACATACTTTCATGCGAGTCGATACAATTATATTTTCTTGTGTGTGTAAACTATGAGCGCACTATTTCGCTACCTGTCCAACTGTTTTTTTTTTTATTCAACTAACATAGACTTTTATACGGTTGCAATTTAAATTATGTAAATATTAGTTTCATTTGTGTTGATATTACGTTTTGTACTTTGCATGTATAATATAATACGTGGGCGGGGCGATCGCGTCGGGTGGGAGAGCTATTTGTTTTAGTTATACGTGAGCCGCGATGGTTCTTGTGCCTAGAAAGACATTTTGATATCCGTGATTATTTCGGCGTGACGCGTCATATACGCTCTTAGGAACGCTTTAGACGATCGGTCTGAATTTTAGGCTGTTTTAGCCAGGGACTTTAGGAAACGTAAATATATTAGACTTTAATTTGAATGAAACCATCCAGTATGAAATCTCAGTCTACATTCAATAATATCGCGGTATTTGTCCACGTTTATCATCTATTCGAATTATTTTGATAAACAATAATGTTAATATTTTGAAGATTTTTAACATTATCAGGTTCGTATTTATAAAAATGTAGAAGCAAACGTGTGATTGAATTTTCGCTATTAACCCCATGAAACTGATCACTTGTTTTTCGGAACTGGATATTTCATGTGGCTTGTAAGCTGATATCCCAATGATGATATCCAAACCCGAAGTTCAGCACAATAGAAACTAGGTACAAAAAGTCTTAGAAAATGTTTTGAGCCTAATTTATTTCACAATAAATAATATGGGATTGCTTCTTAAAGTTAAATACATGCGAAATATTTTCATAATTAATATATAAATATTTAATTATACAAATAAAGTTGATAATTAGTCCACTGCAATTGTGAATTGTGAAGGAATTGATTTTCGTAGTGTTTGACATGAAACCAATATACGAGGCTAATATACTCGGAAGTATACTTTATACTATTGTAATAAAAACTATACCCGGTTTTATTTCCGAAAAATAGAAGTGGTAAAATTAAAATTTTTGTACAACCGACTTCAATATTAATTCAATTTACTGTTAATTTTTAAAAACCGCTCGACCGATTTCTATAAAAATTTAATGGGACCACCTGGGCAATATACCCTATGAAACAAAAAAAATATATTTTTCAAATCGGTTCAGGCATCTTGGAGAAATCGGTGAACATACACAAAAAAAGATTCCGATGAACTGAGAACCTCGTCCTTTGTTGAAGTCGGTTTGAAAATGACATTTCATGTGTTGCTACATTTTGGCATACATTTATTATAATTTGTAACACGTATTAATCGGAATAAATCGTAAAACGGTATTAGATATTGTAAAAGAAGGTCATTCTAAAAATTTTACAAAATATAAAAGCAATGAGCATGAGGTAAATCAAATGGCGATTGTCGTGCTAGAGCGAAACATCTGTTTTTTCATCTTTAAGCAAGTTGGTTTTATAGATATGGTAAAATATCATATTATGTACGTTTAATCATGATAATAATTTATATTGGAATATACTCAATATCAAATTCTAACAATAGAGCTACGTACAATAAAATACATTGAACATTATACGATTCAAGTAACCGGAAACACACTACCTATGTTAATGAATGTAGCAACATCATTTTCGAGTTTGATATGGGTAGTAGTCAATTTATTCTCCGGAATCAGTAACCGTACTACGTGACTGCAGACATTGCATTATGTAGACAGTTTTATAAGAATACGCACTTCACTTGAAACTAAATTTGAAGTAATATTAACAATATATTGACTATAAATTCAGGGACCCATATGTATTAGTGTAAGCGGTAAGCAGTCAGTACTATATTGCTTTTGCATTTGCAAATTAACGAATAACAGTGCCATACGTATGTTTTTGTTTGTAGTATTATTTCTCAGCTAGTTGCTCAAACTTAAATAATTCTCGTATTGAAATTTTGCATGTTACTTAATAATACACCACTGTGATGGGCTTCCCGAAACCAATCGATCGATTCTAGGTAAATTTACGTGACACTGTGAAACAAAACTTTTACAATAAATTTTATATTATAAGCAAATATTTAACATTGAAAGCAATAATTGAAATCAGTGTCTTATAATAATAGCTTCATACTTTTTATATTTAATAAGTACGTAGCGCTGAATTTTGCGTGTGCCAAATTTTGTTCAGCTTGCTTGTGGATACCAAATAATGTGACTTGTACAAACAAAAATGCCTGAGTAACCTTTTAGCTTCGATGGTTGTGTGTATCCTATATATATTATCTGAAGCTTTCGTGTGTCGTTATATGTAGCGTAAATCATTCTCATTCACTTTAAAAGTAACAGTTTTTTTTTTTTAAATAGTGATTCAAAAAGTACAAATAAAGTTGTGAAAGTACATATGATTTCACACGGTTCACTTGCGTGGTAGTCGTTGTTGTAAACTCATTTGTTTATTGTTTCTTAGTCGATAAACATAAGCAGCCGCCTCAAATGTCGATTTTTACGACAAAAATGGACGAGCTCGCGGTGGTAAGGTGACCGCACGACTTTGGGAATAGACCGGTGCGGATTAGCGAACAGGCTCGGGCCAGCTGTGATATATAGACGTGTCTAAACACCCGTGGTGCTAAAGGAAGCAGGCCTCCGACGTATTGTTGTTACTCGTGGTTCTTGTTAAATATTTAAGCGATGTTTATTAATGCTATACAAACTGTTTACATTCCTCCAACAAGAGCTATGTTGAGTTTTGTTTAACTTAGTTTTTATATTGACTCATGTTCAATTCTGTTGCTTGACCAGTTATCGCTTTTAGGTTTTAGTAGGTTATAAGTTCTAAGCTGTCTCTGTTCATCGTACGCCGAATTAAGAATTAAATATTAACGTACTTAAGTGTTTTGATAAATCGCAATTCATAGTAGGGTTATTTTTGAGATGCATTTTAAAAAAAATATATATTTTGATAGGGCAGCTATTGCAGTGTTCATATTATTTTATTCCATCATATACAATATATACATATAGTTATTTTTGTTGCGCTCGTTCTAAAATGTTTTGATTGCCAAAGAAATTTTGGAAAATTCTATAATTGATACATTATTATTGCATTGTGCTTTGTGAATTATTTCTCCATTATATTATTTCCATGCTTATTATCAATATTGATCAGCTATATTAACTCGTTATAGTCTATGCATAATTCGTAGCTGTTTGTATAGTGGTGTCATTTTTGGGGAGTATTTTTTTATCTGTGACGTCGTTTATTCGCCGTCTTAGAAATACTTCCAAATGGTCGCATACACAGCTACGTGTCAATAGGGGGCAATGTACAATCCTCATTTGTAAATTATTTATTATCGTATTACGTCTATTATTGTAACGTTCTATTTATCATTTTAAAATTGTAAGTTCCTAACTAGCTATCTTCAGATGTAAAGAAAAACAACTTGTCACTTAGTTGTAATCGCTGACAATAGTCCATTTTGGAATAACTGTTTATCGTCTGGTGACTATATTTTACTACCGTTATACACTTCGATGACGATATTGTCCCGGACGCGGTTAGTTGTCGCCGTGTGCGTGTGACGTCATCCAGTACTAACAACACGTGCCTTAGCTTCTCGGCTCATCCCCATATCATCTAGGAATACTATGTTATATGTATCGATAGTTATTGTAATGTACATATGTTTTCAAATAAACCAATATTTTATGGATTTTTTAAGGAATTTGTATATTGTAAAGATTATTATTAATTTTATCATAAAATTAATGCCTAGCTTTTAAGAGCTACATTTGTGAGAAATAAATAACATTTTAAAATCTTATTGTTTTATTTAAGAAGCCGTTTCGATATGCGTAAATCATCAAATAAATAAATTTCAGTAACAACAACACTAAATAACGTTCAAATGCAATTAAACATTTTTTTTAAAGAATAAACTACACAAACTTTTTTTGCATCTTTCATAAATTAACTAAGTAACATTTTATATAGCATTTATGTAAATTATTTATGCATCTTCTGTTTTTTAAAAATTATTAAAAAAAATCTTACTATCTGTGTGATCACAATTATAATATCTCGAACAATATTTTCCATTAATAATAAATTTATTTAGGATTTTTAGTTATTAAAACAGTCCGACAGCTTTCTTCATCTCCTTTTGCTTCCAACTGGGCAATGCGCGGAAGTCGCTGTATGGCATGCTGAACGTGGACACGAAGTCGTCGTGAGTTAAGTACAGCTGTGAAAAATTTAATACATACTAAGTACCTTTTATTAATTAAAATCAAGTCTTATCTTTTAAATCGAAAAGGGGTCACCAAAAAATATCAGCCCTACAAATGTTCAATTTTCTAACGATCGCTCCAATGTTAGGAGGAGTATTTTTTGCTGCTGTACTATGAAACGTACATATTTCACAACTACCTATATATTATGTATTTAAATTTGTTAATTTATCATTCTTATTAACACGTCACTTTTATATGACAATACTCAGCGATCAATCTTATATCAATTATCATATCATAGCAACCTTTATATATCATGTTGTGTCATCTATCGACAAGTATGGGAATTACACTCCACGGATGCTTTGAGCTTTTATTTACTCCCACACGCCGTAGTCAGCTTTTATTAAAATATTGTCGTTTTGTCATTTTTAGACTTATATAGTAGGAAACTAGGTAATAACACTATTAGTAACATTATATAGTAATATTAGCAACCCTAAAACTTTAATTTTCGTACGTACCAACATACGCAAGATAATAATGTTATCCTAAAATTTTGTACGCACCACTACTATACAACCCTAAAATTTTATATATTTTCTATATGCCATCACCATACAAGAAAATTAAACGTTTTTTTTTCATATATACAGGTTTGCTAATGATGATTTTGTGACCCTCACCCTGTCCGTTATGTAAGCACAAGCCATGGGGTCCGTAAACACTAGCGCTCGGAGTTATACGAGAATTCGCAGTGGCGGATCAGTTCCGCCCCCACACCCCTAAGTAGACCAGCTTCTCTTTGGCTATAGGCATATATATTTTATAATACGTACCTCTTTAGTGAGTGGATCGACGTCGGGCGGCAGATGTTCCTTAGGCCCTCGCAGTACAGCAAGCGGATACTTCTCATATTGGTCGAAGTGATTCGCGCTGTTGCCGGTCTGCAGCGCACTGTTGCCGCCCTGCACTATCGCCTTGCCCTCTAATGCACTGACGATGGCGCTGAACGTCTTGTGACTCTGGTGGATATAATAAAACAAGAATTAAAGAAAAAAATTACCCAATGAGATTTAGGACACGTTATTTAGGGTTCCGGTGTGAAAATTATTTCTGATCTTTTTCTAAATTTAAAACACACGAGGTAAACACACTTTCTAAATATAATGTTATAAGTTGTTTATAGAACCTACAGTTAATCATATACGGTCTTCCTTATTTTTTTTAATTATCTCTATATCTGTCTCTTTCTATATTCATTAAGTGAACAGAGAGAGAGAGAGAGTGAATGAAAAAATTTCTTAAGTTGACGTCGATTTTTGAGTATAAGGCCGATAATGTCTATTCAATGGTATCCGCCTTGTTATTATGGATAGTCGAAGAAAATATGTAAAGGAAGTTCATAAAAATAGGTATTTGAATTAATTCCATATTTTCAAATAAAGACCTAAATTAAAAGAACATATTTATTTTTATGAAATTTTGTCAAAAAATGCATAAACATTAGGGCAGACAGACGAAAAATAATTAAAAAGTTTCTTTGTTAGCAGAACACTAAAAATAAGTTGTGCATATTACCACGGTGCGGTGCCACTGTTAGTGGTTTGTAAGTTTTTTCTATGAAGTAGTGGAAAATGAAACAAAAAGAGAAAATTGTACACATTTTGATACTAAACTAGGAGTAGTAGGAATACCCATTTTGAGTAAAATATTTAGTCGAAAATTGGAGGAGGAAGAGGTTATCAATTCGGCCGTGTTTTCTAACGACTTCAAAAAGGAGTTGGTACTCAATTCCACTGTATGTTTTTTTATGTGTGTTACCTCATAACTTTTTACTGGGTGAACCGATTTCGATGATTCTTTTTTTATTTGTAAGCTGGTGCTTCACATGTATGTGGGTCCCATATAAATTTGATCAAGGTCTGACCAGTAGTTTTTGAGTTATTCTTAATAATTTATATTGAAGTCGGTTGTACAGTTTTTTAATTTTTAATTATTTTGTATAGTATATTAAGCGATATCTTCCTCAATTGTGAATCTATTTTGACAACTTTTACATTAAATGGGTTATACTTCAGGGGGTAGTTGAGACGACATTGACATTGTGATATTTTTAGTCCACTCAAAAGGGTGGTAAAAATTTACTTTTAATAAAAAGTACAAGTGGACTTCAAAAAACTAAAAAGAACAAAATATCGCACTCTGAAGTCGGGAGTTTAAATTTTTCTATAAAATCGTTTCTCAGCACGGACTTTTACTGTTTACCGGCTTTTACATTTTACTAAAAGTAGTTTTAGTTGTATTCGAATAAGAAGTTGTGTTTTGGAGAGGTGTTAAAAATTTAAAATTATAATTTTTAACAAAAAGTAAAAACCGACTTCAAATTGCTAAAAAAGATTTATTTACTACCCTTAGGAGTGGAATTTTTTAACCAAATTTATATTGGATCATCCTTAAACTATAACCTATTTAATAAAAAAGAATCATTAAAATCGGTTCTCAATTTACGAAATTAAAATATTAAATTCCTTAAACAAGAGTCTAATATGAAACTTTTTCCCCTATTTTCCACCCTTGGGGGCCGAATTTTTTCATGAAATGGGACCACCCTTGAGGTAAAGCCTATCTTATAAAAACGAATCCTTAAAATCGGTTCACAGTCTGCGAAGATATCGCGTAACATACATACAAATAATTAAGAATTAAAAACTTTGTATAACCGACTTCAATATCAATTATTAAGAATAACTCAAAAAGTATTGGTCAGACCTACATCTAATTTATATGGGACCACAAGGGAAGACCCAGCTTTCAAATAAAAAAAGATTAATCGAAATCGGTTCACCCAGTAAAAGTTATGAGGTAACACACATAAAAAAAGAACATACAGTCGAATTGAGTACAGTCTCCTTTTTGAAGTCGGTTAATAAGGGAATATTATAGTATATAATAGTGGTTGATACACTTTAAATAACTTCTTAAACTGAAATAATAAAACATAGTAGGCTAGTAGGAATTAAAAACAATGAAATTCTGGCAACTCACCTTCCACATAGAATGTTTCCAATGCGGAAAGAAACCGGTGAAATTAGGTGGCTCCCGACCTTGGCTAAGCACCAATATCGGAGTCTCGGGGTCACGAGCTGCCGGGTCTGTTGTCAAAATAAGAAACATAAAAATACCGGTTGGTAACTGCAGTTTTTTTTTTAACATTGGGTACTCTTGGGATGAGAAAAAAGCACTGAACTCGCCTGACCGTCACGATCAAATACATAAAATTGATGAAAGTAGTGTTGAAAGTCATGTCAAATGATAATAATAATCATTCTTTTGCATGGAATAAAGCAACTCAATAAATGAAAATTTTATTACTATATTAATACGTTGATAAAAATAAGAAAATATTTTAACAAAAACTTTCTAAAAATATATCTTCCAAACATCCCAAAAAGAATGTTAACAAGTTTGTTAATCTAATGGCCCGTCTACACCACTCGCGAAGTTGATCGAAGTTGGGTGAGGAGAATAGTGTAGAGAGGTACTTCGATTCGCTTCGTGTAACCTTGCTTGCTTGGGCGACTTTTGAACTGACGATTTTTTGCGCCCGAGTCAAAAGTCTTCGCGAAGTGCCCCGAAGTTACATAAAGCTCACTATACTACTCGGCATACGCCAGTTGTATATATATTTTTATATATAAATATTAAGTATGTAGCTTATATATAATTATTTATCTATGGTTAACGCATTGACGTCGTATTGTTCATACAATTACCTATAGCAGCTGCCTTTTGAACGTTGTTCATGATGCGAGCGGTTCAAGACAACTGAGTTCTTCGCGAAGTAGCCTGTGTAGCCACGTTCTGCGGACTTCGACGAGCACTTTGTCAAAGTTACTTCGCGAGTAGTGTAGAAGAGGCCTAAGAAGTTTTCACTTCTTAGGCCTCTTCTACGTGCAGTCTTACAACTGACAGTTTTTTTTAAATTCTAGTTTTTACTAAAAAGATGTCGCTGTCCGTTTCTTGGCTTGTTTCCCGCTGTCGCCTTTTACGACACCCACGAGGTGATATGGGGTAGTGGATATTCTTACACTGCCACTACACGGTGTCTCTCGTAAGTAGTAGTTAATAAAAGTGTTGTTAAAACATGACAGTGAAATATGAGTAAAAGTGGTGAACATTCAACGGTCGGAGTAAAAGTGGAGAATATTTAACGGGTCCTCTTCAAATGATACAAACATATTATATGAAGAGGAGCCACGCCATGTGTTAGGGATGGGCAAAAGGAAAAAATATATCGATATATCGTCATCATTTGAATGATGTAAAGATAAGGTCCAAAATTTTATCTACTGACGGTTGGACGACGAAAAAAACGATACAACATTTTAAAATATATCAATATTGATACGAATTCGATACTCTAAAATAAATATCGATATGTCGATATATTGTGATTTAAAATATCGATATTTCGATATATCGATATTTTTTGCCCAAGCCTACCATGTGTTGAGTACATATTAAGTGCAGCGGTAGTTACCGTGCGCGAGGTAGCTGGCGGCGAGGCGGCGCGCGTCTGCTTGTGCGCGCGGGCCGCAGTGCGCGCCCAGCCACACGAACAGCACCGCGTGCGCGTCCAGCACGGCCGCCAGCTCCGGCGCCAGCGAGTACTGGCTCACCGCGTGAAGCTCCTCGACTGCAACGCGGCAATGTCACGTTTTTTTTAATAACAGGCAATTTTTACGTGGTAGAGCCAAACTGCAGCTATATTTATAGTATAGTTGTAGCACGAATGGGTCGGCTCGACCAGGGAAGTACCACGCTCTCACAGAATACCAGCGTAAAATAGCAGCTTAATGCTGCTGTGTTTTATATGGTGAGTGTACATAACCGGAGACTGTTAAACTGTTTTTTCTTGAAAAAAGGCATTTTGATTCACAAACGAGGAGAGATGTAGATGTCTATGGGCGTCAGCAACCACTTACCATCAAGGGGACTGTGTGCTTCTTTGTCACCCTATTTCTTTATACAAAATAGCACGTCATTTGACGATAAGTGTGCACTAAGACTGAGACACGTATTATTGTTTTTTTTTTTTTAATTTTATTCCTTAATATTATAAGGGGAAAAATTACGCAAGCGTACTTCGGGTTGTAGATACAAGTCAGTGTATTGTATTTATGATCAATACGCACATTGAGCACAAGTTGCAGTGTACACACATCCGTCCATAAATTGTGCCCGGCATATGTTTGTTTCATTTAAGTCTCCGTTTTTCCCTATTTTGAATAGCTCTGTAAAGTACTAAATAAACGGCTATTTATCCAATATATCTTTCTATCTAAGTATACGCTGTAGTCCATAGACACCTATCCTCCATTAAGAATTATACAGATGCGTTGTCAACCATATGGATTAAGATGTAATTCAGTAATACCCGTCAAGAGTCTTCAATTCACGTCATTAACCATATGAAACAACAGTTTTTTGCTGCTAAACCGCCCATAAACGCCTGCACCACCAGAGGAATTTCTCAATGTGATGGTGCATGACAGAAAATTCCTGCTAAAATGCACACTGGTGGGCTACCAAATATAGATAGAACCTACCAAAAGGCTACCAAATACCAAAAATAGAGATACCAACTATAGATTTGGATAAATGTGAGAGTTCTGTCGCAGTATACAGTGGTACAATTGAGCTGCTCCCCATGGTATATGCGATAGAAATTGCAAATAAATACAACATCTCTTCGCAAGACCAATCAAATTGATAGGAAAGAACTTGGACGTCTATAATACGAGCTACTTTCCGTTGTGGGAAGTGGTACTAGCTAGATGCCCGACCCTCAGATGAGAACATTATTTCACGTGAGACCGAACTTCTGCTCTGTAAAGTTGGAAGCGGTGGGCTGGCATGAAACACTGTCTCACTTTACTTTTTTAGACGCCATTGACTGATATCGACGCTGAGGATTCTGAAACTAGCTTAGACAACAAGTAAACTTACCTCAAAAACAAGAAGATACCACAAAAAGTTTTTTTTCAACGGCAAATTTGATGTGGCTTTTGAGGACTAAACTGGCCTAGATTTAGTCGCCCTCAATATGGGACTTGCCAAAATCTCATCTTTAGATACAAGTTTGTTTTCTTTTATTTTCATTTGCTAATGGTAAGTGTGGATCAACTTACATGTATATTGGCCGGGTGCGCCCAGTGACACGTAAAACAAACGCGGCGGTAGTGGACGTTCCACTTCCTTCAGCGGCGTTGCCACCAGTAAGTGGCGGCGGTCCCCTAGAGCTGCCCAAAAGTCTGGTTTTTCCTTTCCTGTATGCGAAATAAATATTTAGTTAAAATATGCACACATATTCTGCCCGTAAAATTTTTATTGGTCATGATCCTTTCCTATAGTAGGGAGGATTTGCCATAAACGGCACCTGATCTTTCGCTCCTAAATTTGTTGTTGGCGGCATAGGTATTTTATATAAAGTATTTATAAACGCAGGAAGTCGATGGATACAGGTGACTCAGGACCGTGCTTTGTGTCATTTCTTGGGGGAGGCTTATATTCATCATTCTAATTGTAAAGGGCTGTAATGATGATATTTATAAAATAGATGGTTCAAAAAAATCTTAATCAACACTTGAGCCCAAGGGATGATGTGTTGATGAATTCTCTTATGTTTTTACCACACCGCAAAAGCATGTCGTATTCTAGCTTTCAATTGGTGGTATCTACCCGTCGTCTCTCTCTCTCTCTCTCTCTCACACACACAGAAGTGTAAATTTGTCCCTACATGTACATACGTACCTTGCATGACGAGCGTGTGCTCGGCGGCGGCCATGTTCTTAGCGACCTCGCGCTCGTCGCCGGTGGCGCACGCAGCGCACCACACCCACGTGCGCGTGCCCTCGCGCACCACGTAGCAAGCTCCGCGCCCGCCCTCCGCGACCCCCGCACTCCCCGCGACCTCCTCACGCACCTCGATGCCGCGCGCCTCCCGCGCGTACTGCCCCGACACACGGATCAACGCACGGCACGGCGCTATTACACGACGTCCGCTCGCTAATACATTATGAAAAAAAAAGCGTGCAAGATGATTAACAAGGCCGCCAGATCGTATAATTGAATAAAAAATGTGTATAATTTGGTTATCATAATATAAGCTATATTTCAAACGATTCAAGAAGTACTTTTGCATAGTTGGAACATCTGTTCCTTGTGACAGACAGAAAAACTGTCCTGTTCTGGTTTCGATCCCAGGGTCGGGCAAATTATTATTGGGTTTTAATAACTTGAAGTTCCCAGTAGTAACACGGAGTCTGGATTTGTGTCTAGTGTTTGGCAATACGCGCAGCCCCTATTACATGGGACGTATAACATAACAGTACTACACACCTCTACCTTCTCCTTCTGGGAAATACAGGCGTGATGTTATGTTTATTAATTTAATGGTGTTTCTATACAGATACTTGTATTTACGATAAATTATCGTCAATAATGTTGTGTGTCTATATTAGGCATGTTTGAAAATGTCGCGATTGATCAAAAATAGATCTGTTAATGCTTGATTTAATGGAGAATCGATTCTAGGGTCTCCGATTTGAATAGATTTGGAGATCGTATTGTTTTCATGAGAGACTGACAAGTGGCAAGTGACTATTTAGTGACATCAAAAATAGGAGCGCCAAATACGATACGAATTATGAATATTTCCTAAGATTTATTATAGCCATACGTTACAAACAGTATTAAATACATCATCTTTTGTCGTACGATAATATTAATTCCATAACAAGTATGACAATATCCTACTTTACTTATAATAATACGTACGTCTCTACTTCTTCCATACTTGTAACAATATTAATAATAACATCTGTATCTAGTCTGCAATATTACTCTTTTTAAAGAACACATTTATAATTAATGCAGTAATGATAAGTGTTTTTATATTAATTGTCGTAAACTCGTAAGTTATCGGTTAGTAAGACGTAAAATACACTCCTTTCTAAACGATCATTAGAAAATCCTAAATAATTATCTTTACGAATATTTTTCTTCAGCATTATTCTAACTACCTATTCAAAATGGAGTATGATCTCATTCAATAAGTATAGTAGGTTTTTTTAAATTATACTTTTAGGGAATAATATAAAAGAATATAAAGAAATAGTAATTTAATATTTTTATTGTAGCTTCTTTTTGCAAATTTATTCGAAATAAATTCAAAATGTAATTCAGATTAAAAAATATACAACAGTTCATTCAAAAATCGATTACAATCGATTGGGCATCCCTAATCATTCTTCGACACCACGTGATGTTTGGCGAAGATGGCGGCGATTAATGTTATTAGTCGAGTTGAATACTTTTTAATATTTATTTTGGCATGCAGCTAGTCCGTGTTATAAAAGTATTTGCAACAAATGTAATAAAATAGAAAATTAATTATCGTGTATGTCCGATGCTTTTATTACACGGGGCGATTCTGGAAATTGTCCTTTGCAAGAATTGACATAGTGTAAAATAAGTTGGCTCTACTGACAGTTCTGCAACAAACATCTCGATGTTTTGGCGCGAACTTGACCACAGGCATATTGTTGCTTCCATTTTATTGTACAATAATCATTGATAATAATAGTTTAAAGTGGATTTTGATACGATAAACTGATATGATTTTGTCTATTAAATGTGTGTGCATGTGAATTATTAGTAGTAACGACGAAACAAGTGCTTCAGTTCTTCATTGTTGATAAGAACCTCACTTGCGCCTTAAGAACTTGAGATATTGTCGTCATCGACTGTCCACTGGTTTAAGCTGTCGCTATAATTTCCCAAAAATGCAATAATCATGCATCAACATATTGTCAGGAAGCTTTTGAATAAATTATTAAAACGGATAACTTCCTATCTGCAATATGGAGCTATTTAAGCTATTTAAGTTTTTTTTTAATAGGATAGGGTGACAATCGAGCATACAGTCCACCTGATGGTAAGTGGTTGCTATGACCCTTAGACATCCACGTTTATCCGCAATGAAGAATCAAAATGCAGATGCGTCGTCACCCGTGAGGACTAAGATGGAATGCCTCTTTTCCAGTAAAATGGGTCTCCGGTTCTCTACACTCACCATACGAAACACAGCAGCGTTAAGCTGCTATTTTACGCTGATTTTCTGTGAGAGCGTGGTCCTTCCCCGGTCGAGCCGACCCATTCACGCTACAACTATACTACTAATATAGCTGCAGCATGGCTCTACCACGTAAAAAATAATTAAGTATTTTGATTTTCCTAGAAAGAACCAGAATGTGCAGAGGTACGGACAGAAAAATTAACGATGGAACATAGAAAATGACCGTGATCGGTTGTAAAAAAACCATTCGTACTTTACTTTCAATAACGAAGCATGGGATAATTTTATTAATAATAATCCGTACTAATGGGTGAATTCACACTGATGTGCTAATTTTGAGGGGATATACAGATGCACATCATCATCGGGAGGATCTTAGTATTTTTAATATCATCTTATCTCATAGGCGGTAAAAGAAATCCATACTTACGATCGTAATCAGTAGCGCTGCCCACATAAGTAATCATTCTTCCCTTGAAGATTTGCAGAAAGTGCGCCGGTTCCTTTCCTTGGTAGATCCAAGCCTTGATTCGTAGCGAAATATCATTTTGAAATTAATTAACATGATCAATTACTAAAATTGTATTAAAAGTAAATAATATACCTGAACGGGAAGACGCCCTAGTTTAATGTAGAGATCTTTGGCTTCTTTTGCACCCAAATTCCTCAGATCATTTGGCGAAGAGCCACCCTGTAATAATAATAAATAATGTATGCTTCGTTATCCTTCAAAAAAAAAGTAATATATTATTATTTTTATAATAAACACAAAATTTTTGTTATTATTACATCAAAAAGCCTTTACACAGCCCAATTTATTGCTTTGTAATTTTAACTTGATTCCGAAAAGTTAACAGGTATGCGAGCTGAGTTGAGTCAAGTCAGGTCATTAAATGATGCTCCTAGTGCCTTTAAACGTGAGCTCGTGGCCACTTTATGCATACTGCGCACTTAGATGGAACTACTTTAGATATTATTATATGTGTTAATCAAGAAGATGCCATCATGTTAGAACTTAGAAAATGCCATATTAAATATGTGTATGTTATTGTATGTAAAAATATTTAAAAAAATATTATTATTATATTAGCATAATATTTAATGTTTAAACGACACGGATATTCGCCATCACCATTATTCGCTGTATCGTGACGGCCATTACCTACTTTATTTCGTCCCCTGGGCATTGTAGGAGGTAATTATAACATATAGGAAATGCCAGGAAATTCTTAAGCTTACGATGGATCCATCTTGATTGCGCTAGACGTGAAATAAGTAGGTACCTTTGACGTCAAAGGTGCGAGAGTGCTACTAGTGGTATGATTCCTTTTCTACCTAAGAATCAAAGAAGAAGAAGAAGTAGGTACTACTCATTTACTTATTTAAAAGGTAAGGCGTCAAATAGCATTACTGTCTTCTGGTCTAGAGTACGGAGAACCAGTAACAATTACAGGCTGTCAGGCACATACTACGCCTAAACAACAACGCATTAAATAAAATTTACATAGTCTTAGCACAATTGCATACCAATCTGTGAAGGAGCCACCAAAACCAACTTTTATGATCTGGAAAGAGCACAGAGGTCTCTTATAAAGGTCAAGTATTTCACACCTAATAGATTCTCTACTAGCACCCTACTCGTATATCAGATTAGTAAACTTCTCTCCGTTAGAAAACACTATGTTCTTAACGTTATCCTAAAGTGTCATAAATCCCTACCGTTTATTGAATCCCTTCAAAAAAGAGAAGAACTGATATTGTGGCCTATACACCTCTTTTACGTACTACCTTTGCTATTAGACAGTATGTCATGTCAGTTTTCTTATATATATTATAATTTAAATGAAATACTTAAAATATATCTTATGCAAAAAAAAAAACGTTAATGCATTGGTTGTATACAGTTATTTATGACGAGGTTGAAAATGTTTAGCCTTTTTTTTTTGAAGTTGGTTGCTGGTGTCCATGGGCTACAGTAGTCACTAACTACCAAAAAACTTACGGTGTTGCGATCGTTAATCAAAGCGTGACGATTAAGACGAAATATCTCTACAACGGAAGAAACTTATCCCATATACTTTTACTATCTACTTAATTACGTAGAAGAAGATTTACCATCCAGTAGTAAAGTATCGACTGGTCGCCGGTGGGCGCGTGGTACATGTAGAGCGCGATGTAGCAGTCGCGGTCGTAAAAGACTGCTTGCTGCGGGCGCTCCACCTCGACGAGCGTCGCGGCGGTTCCTAGCGGAGCCGGCTCGTCTTCGCGACGAACGCGCCACATACGCAGCGACCCGGACCCGTCGTCCGGCAGCTGCGCCTGAGTACGTCATATATTAAAATATGTCATTGACAAATATTAGCTATAATTAATAGAATCAGGAGTTACTTTGCGGAAATCCATTATATTAAAGTTGTTAGAATTTAATTTGCTTATTTAAATAAAATAATGTGTCCTGCTTTGTTTGAAGTTCTTATAGTTCATAGTGATAGTGAAGTTCTTGATTCATTTTTATTTAAACAAAAATATTTTTACGAAAACGAAATACAAAATCAATTAAAATACGCTGGCGCGCATCCACTTCTCCGCGTCGATTGAGGCGCGCCCAGTTGAATCGAATCGCATCGGCGAAGAAATTCGCATGTCAAGCAATTCGCGCGGTCGATTCTATTCGGCGCTCCGCGGCTCGTCGCTAATGGACGCAGTTTCATAGTAAATATATAGGAGGCGACTTTCTGCGATTCGATTCGACTCGGCTCGGCGAGCCTAGTGCACGCTTAGCCTTACGCCCCCAAACTCCTGTCACACTATTGCAAATACAACCCAAGGCGATATAGGAAATGAAACAGAAAATAGGCAGCAGCATCTCTCTGATTACTACTCATATGCGTTCCCATGGCACTGACGATATGCAGAAAAATTGGGACACTATGAATGTAAATTCAGTTTTTACCCACTTTTGGACGAAATTTTAGCATTCATAATATAATACGTGTGACCAGAACCAATGACAATACAATAATTTCAAGACTATGACCTCGAATTCTCACTAGCTGCGTCGCAGTTCATTATGATACGCACTGTTTTAGTTTTATATAAACTCAAAAAATGTTCGTATTAATTTGTTGTCGGTATCGAAATCTACTAGGAGTACATAAAGGATTGAGTACCTCAGCAGCGAGCCAGGAATTAGTGGCGAGGCTGACGGCGTCTAGTTTGGTGGTGGCGGAGCGCGCGGCGCGCAGGCGGGAGTCGCGGCGCGCGTCGCACCAGCGCCAGCGGTGGAACAGCGCCGCGAACTCCAGCGGCTCGGCGCCCGCCGCCGCGCAGCACACGGGCCCGCCGTGCCGCCGAGCGCGCGCCAGTCCCCGCGCCGCCGCCAGCGCGCCCCGCCCCGCGCCGCCCGCACCACTCCCCACCCACGCCCACACGCCGCGGCTGCCCGCGTCCACTACGTACACGCCCTGCCATTTTTTTTTAAAGAATGAGGGCTACAAACGAACACTCAGTCCACCGATGATAAGTAGATGCTATAGGCCATAAACATTTACCTACATAGTTGTTATCCTTGAGAACTAAAATGGAATGTCTCGGGTCTCTGGTTCTCTACACAATATACGAAACACAGCAGCATGAACCTTTCCATTTATGTGCCATTCGTGAATATATGATATAAGGACTTGTTTCCACTATGTCGGACACTGGGAGCTTTAACAAGAAACAGGGGGTCGAGATTAGACTTCAGAGTCTTTCTTTGTTACTTATTCTATTCCATTCGAAAGTAATTGCTTTCAAATATCGACAAAAATTTTGGACTTGTTGTACATTAAGCACGTGTTTGCCGGCACGTGTGCGTTCACATAATACCAGTCCGGGCATTTTGCCGACGAAACTTCTGATCAAAATGCTATGCTGGGTTTTTCACCGGACTTGAGACAATCTCAATAGCTTCTTACAAAGTGCCACTTTCTGGCACTTTCGCATAATGCATAGCGCGAACCAGCTGTAGGGGAATTACACCTCGTTCTCTGAGGTGAACACGCAACTACTTCTTTTCTTGAAGTTGCATTTAGGTATCAATGAGCAACAGTAACTACTTACTGTCAGCTGGACAGTACGCTCCAAGTTTGTTTATTTTTTCATGCTTATAAAAAATAACATCATTTTCATAATTACCAAAAATATACTATAGGTACATTAATTCATACTACTTTATAGATTTTATTCCGTAATCATGTTGTCCGTCAAGGTTTGTAAAACACTCAAAACGTTATAAATAAACTAAAATTAATCGCAATAAAATCCATATAGTTCATTTGATATAATGCATCTGCATCTTATCATGGACTAAAATTCTGTAGAGTAGCGTGCGTGGCTTCTTCGAGGTACGTTGCGGACTCTATGATAGAGATGCTATGTGGAAAACTAGCATAACTACAGGCTGTGAGGCATGACATTAGGTGAACTGTTAGCGCATTTGTAATTCTAACGTTAATTTTATTTTAGCTCTTCTCTCTTAATTTGAACTCTTCGAGATTCACTGCGAACTCGTATAAGGTATAAATGCCATATTCACGTAGGCTGTGTTCATTTGACACATTTATTTGTTTGAAGTTGGTAGCAGGTGTTTAGTAAAAACTCGAATACACCTTAGGTGAATTATTGTTAGTGTGTTTATCAGTCTAAAGTTATAAATAGTAACTTACATCATCTGCTAAGTCCTCCCTGTAGAGCGGCGCGCGCTTGACCTCTTCGAGGCGGGCGGCGAGCCTCTGAGAGGGCAGGGCGTGGGGTGCGCGGGGAGTGGAGGCTCGGTAGAGGCGCGCCGGCCTCGGAGCTTCTAGTGGTGGAGTGGCCCGGACTACACGGTTGCGAGGCTCGAGCAAAGTTCCCAGCAAAGTGCGCTCGGCAACTGGCAAAGTCTGCTCATAACCGTCGTGAGCGATCACTATGCGACGTGCTGGAGCACCCTTGTCCACTCCCCGCGACATGCGATATGCGATCTGTTGCGTTGGATAGAGATTAATTTGTTAAATCTAATTTTCCCATGCGCAGTCGCAAATTGTAGAAGTTGTAGAAAGTACATAATCAGTTTGTAAACAAGTTTAGAGTATTTTTAATATCTATAATACATAGTAGCAGTAATTTATCACTGGTCTTTTTTAGTGTTTTTTTTTTCGTATCAACTGTAGAGTCAAAAAGAGTAGATGAATATTTTTTGTTTTAATTATATATATAGAGCCGTGGTAGCTCAGACGGTTAGCGCTCGCTGTAAGCTTCACAGTACTCGAGCAACCCGGGTTCGGTCCCCGCCGGCACCAATGAAATTGATAATTGCAATTTTAAGTGCTGATTTACCACGTGCTCGGCGGTGAAGGAAAACATCGTGAGGAAACCTGCATGTCTGAGAAATAAGAAAAAATATTTCGAAGACATGTGAAGTTCGCCAACACGTATCGGGGCAGCGCGGCGAACATTTCCTTGCCCTAAAACCCTCTCAGAAATGAGAGGCCTATGCCCAGCAGTGTATATATGTATTTATGGTTATGGAGCTTATTGTTGGAGGCGTATTGTTGAATATGTTATGGTAATAAGGAGCCTAGATGAAAACATAGTCAATATGCAGTTTTCTCACAAAGATACCTTAGCACCGAAAATCTTCTCAATTAAGTTAGCGGTACGACCGAGCCAAAGAACAAGCAGGGAGTTTGCGTCCAGCACGAACACCCCGTCAGAGGCGAGCTGCGCCCAGGTGACGGGCTCCAACTGCAGCAGCACTGGTCGTGGCCCGCGCACTCGGTACAGACGCGCACCGCCGTTCAAACTGCCCGAGCGGAAAATCCTGAAACACAAACTCCATATTTTTATACGTCGTAGAGCCATGTTGCAGTTGTATTATGTTGCACGTATAAGTCGGATCGACCGGAGATGAAACACGCTCTCACAGAATACCAGCGCAAAATAGCAACTCAATGCTGCTGCATAAGCAAAGGTTCTGAGAGGGTAGGGAAAATAAAAATTAACAGTAGTGAGGGTAGATCTCAAAACATCGCTCCTTTGTTGTGTAGTTCAACGCAGACGAACCTGTCAGAGTTATTTCGAATCATTCTATGAGTCTCAATCAGTATCGGTACTTTTGTCCGCTGTAGTAATTCTTCTAGTATAAGCATAAAACTTCGTATTGCGGAGAGACTGTAATGTGTAATTACGTTACAACTAGATAGGACACCAGCGATAGATTAAAATAAAATTTTGTACAAACGACTTCAATATTAATATAATTTATTGAATTTTTTAAAAACCCTGGACCGATTTCGATAAAATTTAAATGGGATCACTTGGGAAGCATATCCTTTGAAACAAAAAAAGAATTTTCCAAATCGGTTCAGGCATCTTTGAGTAATCGGTGAACATACATAAAAAAATATTCCGACGAATTGAGAACCTCCTCCTTTTTTGAAGTCGTTTGTAAACAGCCTAAATATAAATACTATAATAGATAATTAAACGCGATAGAATCCGTAAAAGTAGTTTTATTCAATATTATTTAATGTTAAGTTTGTATATAATATATCTAAGTGTAGGTGGTCCTCCACTAGATGTAGTGACAACCTGGAAAAGGCTGTAATAATAAATAATAATAATTTGATAACACTGACCTGATGCCATCTCTGAAGTAAGATAAAAGCCTCGGCGATTCTTTGGTGGCGTTCTCTTTGTGTATAACTGAAGGTGTAGGCAGGAGCCCAGCCAACTGCGTGGCGCGGCGGAGTGCCAGGGCGCCCAGCGTTCCGCTTCGCTCGCCAGCCCACGCGTGAATATGTCTCTCACTGCATTCACCGGTCTCTTTTATTTCTCGTCTCTGTAACCGAAATTTAAACAAAATTTACCTTTGTTCCTTATTTTTGAGTATAAAATTGAATAGCAAATATACTTTATATTATGTTATATAATATTTCACAGCAATTAGAACAATTACCATTTATGAGATGAAGAAAATTACGAGTAAGTTCCAGGGATTAATTTAGTTTTGTTGATTTAATTTTGATATTTTCAGCAATGGATTATTTTTCAGGTTTATGGCATTTGAAATTCTTCAGGTTGAATTTTACGGCGGTCAGTCTTAACGAAAACAAGGCAACTGCGCAGGGCAGATGCAGGATCAACGGTGTCGGTTTTTTCATAACAATTATACCAATGATTCGTCTGAGCCTTTAACAATTTAAATTTTCTATTAGTTTTTTTACCGTCTTGATTAGTTTTTTCGTTTTGATCGTATTTCTTTCAACGTTCATAACTCCTCCGAGGCAAAATTATTAAATTAGCTAGATTTTTTTTCAAAATGTTTAATTATGACGTGATAAATTATATTACTTTAAAATAATGTAATTATTTTAAATTAAGAACTCACTAAGACGTCAGGTCCAGCAGGCTGCCCAGGGAGAGTGCAAGAGTATACCAGGTAAGCGTCCGCATCGTAAAATGTGCCATAATGTGGTCGTTGTAGCATTTCTGTCCCTTTCTCCTGGAAAATGCAAGTGGAGATTATTTTTTTAACTTTTTTAGTATCATTAACGACCACAGTATGTATTTTTTTGTAACATTTATGGCATGGTTGGCAGGCTAACAATTATAACACTTTTACATGTAGGTATAGTAAAACCCGCTTAAGACGATATTGAAGGGACCCAGCCAAAATCACGACTTAAGCGGGAAAGCGTATTATGCGGGATAGGAAAAATAAGACATCATTTACAAATATTTTGTAGGTATTGAATTATAGGTATACTTCTTTATACATTTGTTAGAAAGAAATAATGTTGTGTAATGTTAACGTATTTAAATACGTTAAATCATAGTTAATTATTATTTATAATTACATTACTTAAAATAATCACTTATTTTGGTTTAACAAAAAGATTTTGATGCATTATGAATGAAAAGGCTTTTAATATAATTTAACTTTTGCAGTGCGTCTAAAATCGATAAGATATATAGCGCCTTAAATCGTTTACTGCTGATAATGCCTCTGCGTTCGCAAATCGGAATTGATTCTCCTTCATCTTCATCGTCATCACTTAGGGCCTCTTTTTGGGTGTTGTGATGATGTGAGATCTTGAATAAGATCTTTAATCGAACAAGTTTCGTAGGATGCAACATTGTAATCAATGGAAGAATATCCAGAAAACCTCTGCAGTATCGCGGGTTCTTCTTCCAACTACATCAACTTCGTTGGGTCGGAAACCTGCTTTCTTGAAACAATTTTGTATGGTTTCAGGCTTAATTGCTTGCCATGCCGCTGCAGTGTTTAGGATCGCGTCATGCACAGTCAAGGGTCGTTTGCTGTCAGGGTCTTCCATTTCTTTAAGATAGCGATGTCGTCGTGAATCGCGAGTCGTGATGAGTCGCGATGAATCGTGTTCTGTAGCCTTGTTTAAAGACTTTTATAATGCCCTGATCCATCGTTGCAACTTTCTTTTCGCATTCGGAGGTAAGAAAACAAGCGTGATGTTATTTATTTCAACATCTTTAGGGTGAGCGGGGCAGTTATCAATAAAGAGAATTATTCATCTATATTTAATCTGGAAGTGATCATCTAAAGCTTTTAACCTTAGGAACCTTCAAGAAAAGAGCCTACTCCTTTTTAAAAGGCCGGCAATGCATCTGCAATTCCCCTGGTTCCCTTGGTGTTGCAGTTGTTCATGGGCGGCGGTAATCACTTACCATCAGGTGAGCCGCATGCTCGTTTGCCCCCTCATCCATAAAAAAAAGTTAATAAATGAAAGGCCAGTCATCCAAGCTCGAGATTGTGCATCATATGTTACAGGAAGCGATTTCACGTTTTTGAAGCAACGTGGATTTTTCGCCTTACCAATCACTAGCAAACGTAACTTTTCCGACCCAGATGGCGTATTAGACGGGAGGACGAATCGTATTAAGCGTGTAAAAAATATATGAAAACAGTTGCAGGGACTGACATAAAATGGCGTATTTAACGAGAAATCGTATTAAGCGAGTCTTACTGTATTTATGTTTTGAAAGAGCAAAATTAAAGAAAGTAATTTTTATGTAGTAGATCTAAGTGACTCCTGAATGCATTGCTGTGACATTATTCAGACACATTAGTAGGTGCTTGCACAACAAGTCACCAAAGTTCGAATGAATAGAATAGAAATTAATTCAATATGATATACAACGTGTAACAAAAACCCTGTGGTTCCCTTTAAGGGCGTTATCAGAGACAGTATTCAAAACGATAAGGGAATAACTTTTAAAAAAAAAATTAAACATTAAAAAAAATATTTTAATTAAAAAAATTAATTTGCAAAATGTGGTTTTGTTACCTCTAACTGAGAGGAGCATCGGTGAAGGGGGGGGATTTTTTTTATTATCAACTTTTTTGAAAAGAAGTTATTTATTTACGTTTGAATACTGATTCAGATAACGCACAGGGTTTTTGTTACATGTTGTATATTGTATAACGTTGGACAGAGATGTTTCAAGAATGTTGAACCATTTGTCTTTTAAAGTTCAATAGTATCTTAACTAATCGGAACTAGTAATCTAAGTTTGAAGAGAAAAAGTCTATTGATTTCAACCACAAAACGTAAAGACTTTTTATATTGCGTATAAGGTATTTACGTTTTATGGTTAAAGTATCTCAATTTAAAGTAGCGTTAGAAAAAGAACCGGGTCGAGATCCTCCTAATCTCTTTAAAGAAACAAATAGAAAACAGCGTGAACTGACTAGTGATCATTAATCTCACGTCAAGGCGCTCGAGCGCGCTATGCACGGCCGTCAACGCCACGGTCCAAAGACTCCATTCAATTATGACATCTCGCTTATTTGTCGTTATAATTGGCGACTCGATTTCCTCGGCCTACATCTACATAATTTTGATTGGAAGTGAAATTACTGTCTAGTCCATCGATTTTGTTTAGCCAATACCCAAGACTACTCTTTCTATTTTGTAAAAAAAGCAATTAAGTTTCATTTACATCGGTAGTTTTTTCCTCTTTCAGTTGTCTCGCACGCAATATAATTTATCAACTCAATTTTATTTCAAGATTATCATTTCGTCGAAATATTTTCTTTTAGTTAAGTTCAGCTATAATTCTTTAGTACGTTGTCTGATTTCAATGATTGTTTTGGTACCTCAAGGGTGGTCCAATATAAATTTGATCAAAATCTGATGATGCGATACATGTGACTTATCATCTAACTCTTCGATTTGCATAGGCATCTGCATGATTATTAGTAAAGTCCACTGCTAAACAATTATTGTCATAAATTAGATTGCCTATGAATAAAACCCATAGATTGTCTCATAGGGGGGATATTTCCATAGTTTCCACGCTTGGCATTCGGGTTGGCAACCGCAGTTTTTTTATAATTTAGTGTTGTTATCAGGAAGATGCTGCTGCCTGTGGCGGCGCTGTCATCGCGCCACAAGCGAAACACGTCGAAGCCTAAATCGCACTAGCAAAGTTCCGAAGTTAAAGCAGCATAATATATAGAATAGCTCCGAACTACTACTAGGAGCGTTGGCCGCTCCCCGGGCAAAACACCTTGCCCGGCGGGAGATCTCCCCTTTTCTTTCCTTTTCTGTTTGAATTTCCCACTAATGCCTCTTACGACACTCGGGACGATATGGGGCAGTAGGGGTACTCGTAGTAAATTCTATACACATTCTTATGACAAAGGCGAAAGGTATTTTGCATTGTTTTAGGGAACCTTTCAAAATGATACACAATTGGGTAAATCGTTCGTTTTCAAATTTGTCTTTAGAATGCCTGCCGGTTGCAGCATTTTAAGGGAATCCATCACCTATGATTAGGTCTCGTAAGAGACAACTATAGGAAATCTCAGGAGTCATCAGATGATAGATAGATAGATGGTGATGTAACCATTTGTTATATCGCCATCTGTCGTAACCCTCTGTTTACGCCAGACGTAAGATACGCAAACCGGCGATGCTATAGTGATAGCGATGTGGGTGATGAACCAGCACACAGTTCATCTGATCATAAGTGGATGCTGTGGCCTATAGACATCTACATTTGTTTTCGATTAAGAATGCAGCACTACGTTGGAATGCCTCGTTTCCAGTAAAAAGGGTCTCCGGTTCTTTACACTCAGCATACGAAACACAGCAGTATTAAGCTGTTATTTTACGCTGGTATTCTGTGAGAGCGTGTCCCTTCCCCGGTCGAGCCGACCCATTCGTGCTACAACCATAATATTGCTGCAGCGTGGCTTTACCACGTAAAACGTTTGGTAATATGAACGTCAATTTGCTCGCTATGCGTGGCGATAAAGGCGAATTTTCCCTACAACAGGAGTGGCTCATGTTCAGCAGTGCAATTAATTTTACTTGACTGAAGAAGAAGAAGGATATTTTATAAAAACGCCAAATTTAACTGAACATTGATGACGCATGCTAGCTTTTCTTTGGGCGTTTTGCGTTTCTTTACTGGATGATTGATTCTTTACAAAGTTTCAAAGAGGAATATTTTTGATTCTTAAAACATATGCCTTGCCTCACGGCTGGATTCTGAACTACCACGGCTCACAGCTTGTACAACTTTCTTTATTGTAAACTGTTCAATGAAAAAAAAACTTCCTGCTAGGTTTTTTGTTGGTTGTTCCCATTACAGAGGTTTTTTCCAAGTACAAGTAGATAAAGTAAAAATTGACTTTCTATTAGTCTTATTTATAACCTATGTTAAATTTAAAAAAAACATGTGTGCAGTACAGAGGCAGTTCACACGCGCTAGAAGTGAAACCTTCAAATGAAATGAATTATAAAACAGAAACATTTTACAGCAAATTATTTATTTATTTTGATAATTTTCAACCACACGTGCGGCATAAAATATAAGATAAAAGGTTAATTTTATAACATATAAATGTTACAATCCTTATTTTTAGACACGTACTAGCCTAACTTTTAGTGTATTAAATCAAAAGTTGATTGACTTTAATAATTTATTAAGACACTAGGTGGCCTAAACACGACTAATAAAAAAATATATAAATCGGTTAGATATGAAATCGTGGATTGTTAAGAATGGTTTGGAAATAATAATTTTATTCAATATAATTATTTTTATTTATTTGAAACACGTAACAGTTAAAATTTATATCTGCAATTTAAATCTGTTGCAATATCTAATATCAAACCGGGCTCTTAGCTCTCATCGGAAGGTTTGGACTTAGCAGTCGTTCGCGCGCCGTTCTGTGTTGAACTATGTATTTTAATTTTTCATAATCTCTTAAACTATGCGTCCAAATAACATGCTATAAAGAAGAGAAATGTTTATCTTCATAAAATTGTCTTGACGATGAAGTAACTTTCTTTTGTAAGGATTGATTAGCTATGCCTAATAATAACGATCAGAAATCACTTTTAATTTTCAATATATTATTATCATAAAACACCTTATTGTGGCGTATGTATAAGAAATAGGCCTATGGCGGATTTTTTTTAGGTGTAGGAAAGATCTATATTTTTGTAGAACATT